TGAAGTGGGCACCATGTCTCAATTTTGAAACTACTGACGTGTATGTCATGCAGTGAGTAGGATCCGCTCGTTGCTTGGCATGACGAAGGTAGACTTAGTATTTATGAGACACAGAAACCTCCTCAAGAGAGAAGTCTGATACGTGGTAGATGGTAATGGATTAATGCCTGAAGGAAGAATAAATAATGAAGTATGGAATTTGCTGATTCCCAGTGTGTGATGAGGTGATACTTCAGCTGTGACTGGGAATGGGTCTGGCCAACACATTCTCCGGTAACACGGTAGTATCAAACTGTCAAACACCGAGAATCAATTAGTGGAAAAGTTTTGTTTAGTGGTTGTGTTACCATGTTTGAAACTAGTTAGGAATTTAATCTAGGGAATGACTTGAATAATTGGAACAAGTAAGCTAAATTTTGTAGGACTATATGAGTGGATGTAGTAATGAATTGATGTTTAAGTTGTATTGAAAGTGAGTGATCTTTGTCGATAAATTGAATACATGAAAACTTTTCTTTTGATATTGGTTTGTCAGGATAGGAAATTTAATGAGGAGTCTTCGGTTCGATAAATTGAAATTATGAAAATATATTATTAGCTTTGGGTATCAGTTTATTGGTATAGCAATTAAAAAGAAGTATTTGAAATTGAATTTTTGGTAATATATCAGAACATGAGTTTATGAATTACTTGAATTGTTTTAACCGTTTAGAATGTGAACTCCATAGTAGTGATGCTTAGTTAAAATCGGTTTGGGTGTTGTCTTCAAGAAATTATATGTGTTTTATGATCTTAATGCGTATGTTCTGTTTTAGTCTAACTGCTTCATGAAAACTCTTGTATTTTGGGAGCTTGGTGTGGTTAATCCTTGTGTTTCGATTATTTGAATTTAGGAACTCTCTTTTCTGTTGAAAAATGAATTTAATGTGTGGTATATGCTAGGAAGAGTCTTAGAACCGAGTTTGATGTGAAAGCATAGTTTTATCAGTGGCTGTATTTTTTTATTAGTATTTATCACTTTAAAGGGATATTTAACTGAAATTAAAATGTCGAATGTGGTTATTGTGCATGTGAATTATGAAAGCCTGGTTTATGTGATGGATTATGATTGGTAGCTGTTTAAAATTGTAATGTGTGTAATGATTGGAAAGTTCATATCATAGTTAATGGATCCTCTGATCTGTGGAGTCAATTACATCCGAGGTACCTAGGACAGCAGAAAGCTCGAGGAAGTTTCCTCATATGGGTGTTTTGGCGAATTGTATCAGAGGTACCACCTTACGTGATATGTACGAAGAACATGTTAGAATTAATTAGCTACATACATGATTGCTTGGTATTTTAATTTTGTCGAGTACATTGTAAAAGGATAGACTAGGTCACATTGGATTTTAGAAAATATTAGACAGTAGCTACAGAATAGACGAACAAACTTAACACCCCTTGTAAAATCGTGGCAAATAGAAGTTAGAACCATGGAATTTCGGTGCTCTTACTTGTGTCCTTAATTCAGCTTCATAGTTAGACTTAATTAGAGGTGCCTCCTAAACCCTAAGTGTTTGGAGGTATTACCTAATGTGACTATTAGCTAGTGTATAGAATTGTGAATTGTTGCTCACATGTTCCTTGGATTAATGTGCTGTTATATGATATATGTATGCTGCCTATGAATGTGACAAGATGGGAAAATCATGAATGAGAAGTAAATGTTATGTGGCAGCTTGGTACGGAAAGTACATGAAAGATATGCTATTATGATGATGATCTAGTCTTGCATATACACCTCATAATTCATTTGTTTCTTGTTTGTGTGTGAGGCATATCATGGCATACATGCACAAATTTCATGCTGTTCATGGATTAGAATATTTATATAAATATTCATACGTTTGAGCACGCATCATATAGGCATCCCTCCGGTACCAGGGTATGGGACACTTGGCTTCAGTCCGCATAGGCCACAGTTGGAATTCACCTTTGATGGGAGCCATTATGGAATATCCACTGTGTATGTTAGTATGCGCATGACGGTGCTATGAGCGTAATGATGGCGTTATATACGCACTATGATATGTTAAGTACGCGCACGATGGTGCTATGAGCGTAATGATGGTGTTATATACGCACTATGATATGTTACTACATCTCCGGAAAATGAAATGTTGATGTGACTGTTTATAATTTTGTGCCTAGTTTAATACTGTTGCATTATTAGTTTTGCTATCACACTACTGGAATTTTTCTCACCCCTTTAGGGCTGCAATTTTTATAAAAATTGCAGGGGTACGAAAGAGCATATGAAAATGTGGTTATATGGATAATGGCTGTTAATTGCTGCTGTTTGGATTTTTGTTGTTACTGTTTGCTTGATGGATGACTGTATTATTTTGGGAAATTTGGATTACTGTTGGAACTATGACTTAGCTACTGTTTTAAGACTTTTATGATCAATTATAACTTTGGAAAAATTCTGCAAACGTCTTGCGAAAAAAATTTCTGAACGTTTTATTAAGTGCTGATTTATGAACAGTTTTGCGAGCACTTTGCGAGTTATGTTTCAAGGGGCAAACGACCTCCGATTTACTAACAATTTATATGCACGCGAAGCCCCAGATGTACTCTTTCTATATAACAAGGAATATTTGTTTGAATCGTTGAACTTGATTTTATACGAATTTTACAAGACAGCAAGGTCTGTCAGGAAGTTAGGAAATTCAGCAAGCTATGTATTTAAAAAAAAAAAAAAATTTGTCACTCTGATTTTTATGAACAACTAGATTTCGACTCAAGTTTTTAATTAGCAACAGAGAAATGATTTTTCAGTATTTTAGTAATTACGTTAGAACTCTAATCCGCTTAGCAAACAACTCTCTTAGATGTATACAAGGGAGGGTGTTACAATCTACAACAATAGCGGAGTCATCAGTCCTGGTGGCTTTCGCCTCAACCCATTTAGATACATAATCAACAGCTAAGAGAATGTATGCAAATCCAAAAGAAACAGGAAAGGGACCCATAACGTCAATACCCCAAACATCAAAAATCTCATAGAAGAGTATAGGGTGCTGGGGCGTTTCATGCTTACGGGTAATACTACCTGCTCTCTGACAATTATTGCAAGACTTACAGAACTCATATGCATCATGAAATAGAGAAGGCCAAAACAAACCAGAATCTAATACTTTCCTAGCAGTTCTTTGTGGTCCGAAGTGACCACCATAGGCAGATGCATGACATAAATTCAAAACATATTGGAATTCAATATCAGGCACACATCTCCTAACTACTTGATCACTACAAAATCTCCACAAATAAGGATCATCCCACACATAATACTTAGACTCACTTTTAAATTTTAGGATCTGAGCCTTAGTGGAATCAACAGGCAAAACACTAGCAACCAAGTAATTAACCATATCAACAAACCAGGGAAACTTACCTTGTAGCTGTAAAAGCTGCCCATTAGGAAAATCATCACGAATAGGGAGGGAACAAATGAAAGAGAAGTGATGCGGCTCAGGTGATCAGCTACCTGGTTTTCTGCTCCGCTTCTATCCTTGATTTTAATGTCAAACTCTTGGAGCAGCAACATCCACCGGATGAGTCTAGGCTTAGCATCCGTTTTCTTTAAAAGAAATCTCAAAGCTGCATGGTCAGAGAAAACATTAACCTTAGTATCCAACAAATATGACCGAAAATTATCAAGAGCAAATACTATAACCAAGAGCTCTTTTTCAGTGGTGGTATAATTTGCTTAGGCCGAATCCAAAGTCCTGGAGGCATATGCAATGACATGTGGAGCCTTGTTGACCCGCTGAGCAAGAATAGCTCCAACAGCATAATTGGAGGCATCACACATCAACTCGAATGGAAGGGACCAATTAGGTGACTGAATCACAGGGGAAATAGTTAGGCAGCGCTTCAGATGATCAAAAGCTGTCTTGCATGCATCGCCAAACTCGAACTCAATGTCTTTCTGGAGAAGGTTGGACAGTGGTAGGGCAATCTTGCTAAAATCCTGAATGAAGCGCCTGTAAAATCCTGCATGACCAAGAAAAGAACGCACTTCCCGCACAGAAGCGGAGTAAGGCAAAGCAGTAATCACATCAATCTTAGCAGGATCTACTTCAATTCCCTTTTTAGACACTACATGTCCTAATACTATTCCCGACTCAACTATGAAATGACATTTTTCAAAATTCAAGACAAGATTTGTCTGAATGCATTTTTTCAATATTCTTCCCAAATTACCCAAACAAACATCAAAAGAAGACCCATATACACTAAAATCATCCATAAATACCTCCATATAGTCCTCTAAAAACTCAGAAAAGATGCTTACCATGCAACGTTGGAAAGTACCTGGTGCATTGGAAAGGCCAAAGGGCATCCTCCTATATGCATATGTGCCAAAGGGACATGTGAATGTGGTCTTCTCCTGATCTTCAGGTGCAATATGAATCTGAAAGTAACCATAATATTCATCCAAGAGAATGTGGCAAAGGGTAGTGATCCTTGCGAGTTGCTTGATTTAGTCTACGGCAATCTATGCATACTCTCCAATTTTTATGAGCTCTTGCCGGAACCAGTTCATTTTTTTGGTTCGCCACTATAGTCACTCCAGACTTTTTGGGAACCACTTGAACCGGGCTGACCCACTGGCTATCTGAAATGGGATAAATGATGTCGGCCTGTAAAAGCTTGGTGACTTCCTTCTTCACCACTTCTAGGATAAGCGGGTTCAGGTGCCTCTGGGGTTGCCTCACTGGTTTAGCACCATCTTCAAGCAAAATGTGGTGCATGCACATGGAAAGGCTGATTCCCACAATATCTGCTAAAGTCCATCCAATTGCTTTTTTATTTTCTTTCAGTAATGCCAGAAGTTTTTCCTCCTGCTCAGGTAGAAGGTTCTTGGCCACTATCACATGTAACTGCTCACTTTCCTCCAGATATGCATACTTCAAATGGTCAGGCAGAACCTTCAGTTCCAACTTAGGTTGCTACTCAATGGATGGAAGAAGTCTAGTGGGTGCAGATTCTGCAGAAAACACATTAACAGCTATGCCTGCAATCAAATCCTCATAAACAGAATCATGATCCTCAATAATTTCAACAGGCAATTTAGAATTCAACATCAATGTAGAACCACTATGCAAAGCAGAATCAATGTCAGGCTCATCATCATGATAAGAATTAGAAACAGAACCCAAATCATTCAATGAATCATTAAAATCAAAACAGCACAAGGCGATCTCAGCACAAATTGTACAGTCACTACTATCATTACAATCACATGAAAGATCAGAATCAAGGAAGGATGAAAATTCTAGATATTCAGCAATCAAATCAACAGAAGCATCATCAACAATATCATCAATAAAATCAATGCAGAAAATAGAGTGCTCTTCCCTAGGATATTTCATGGTATCAAAAATATTAAAATTGATAATACTATCACCGAATTCCATAGAAAGAGTACCAGCATGCACATCTATCTTAGTCTTAACAGTTTTCACGAAAAGCCTACCAAGTATAATTGTACTACTAGGAGTCTCACCCTCCATCCCTAAGACATAGAAATCAGTAGGAAAAATCAGATTGTTCACCCTAACTAATATATCTTCAACTACACCAGAAGGATGAACACTACTCCTGTTGGCTAACTGAACCACTATACCAGTAGCACGCAAGGGACCAAGACCGAGAGACTTATACACAGATTCAGGCATAACATTAATGAATGCTCCTAAGTCTAACATACAATCATGAAAAATAGAATTTCCAATAATGCAAGGAATAGTAAACGTCCCTGGATATTGGCACTTCTTGGGCATGGGCTGGATGAGTGCTGACACATTCTGACTGACGCTAACTCGCTCATCTCCTTTCAGCCTTTTCTTGTTGGTGCACAACTCTTTCAGAAACTTGGCATATCTTGGAATTTGCTGAATCGCATCCAAGAGTAGAATGTTTACCTCTACTTTTCTGAAGGTGTCAAGAATCTCTTTATCTTGAGCTTTGGCCGCTTGCTTCTTAGATTGAATGGCTCTTTGTAGGAAAGGCAATGGAATGTGGATATCAGAAGTATCAGTGTTCTGCTTCCTTGAACTACTGTCACCTCCTTGAGATGACTCAACAACAGATTTGTTTGGCTCCTTCAGTTGCTTGCCAGACCGCAGAGAAATAGCACTAACATTGCCGCTTCCCTTTGGATTTGGAACTGTCTGTGATGGAAGGGAGCTGCTGGAAGGTTGGGCCTGGTTCATTGATGTCGCCAATTGCCCAATCTGTGTCTGCAAATTTTGGATTATGAATTCTGTCCTTTGTTGGAACTCCAGATTGCTGGTGGCCATCTGTTTCACTAAGTCCTCCAAGGAAGGACCTCTGCCACTATTTTGTTGATGCACTGGTGGTTGTTGTTGCATCTGTTGGGGAGCAGCTTGCTAGAAGTTCTGTCTCTGTTGTGGAATGAATTGCTGCTTCTGCTGATATGGAATATTTTGCTGATTCTGGTTCCATCTGAGGTTGGGATGATTCTTCCAGCCAGGATTGTATGTGTTGGAGAAAGGATTATTCTGCTGCTGGAGCTGTGGTTTCCCAAGAAAGACTGCAGCTACTTACTGGTGTGCAGGAATGGTGTCCTCTTGCAGAGAAGGACAACCATCAGTGGGGTGAGAAGGGTCACCGCATATGCCACATGGATTACCGAACTGTAGAGCAGAAGTCTAGACTGTCTGGGTAACTGCCAACTGTCTTACCATGGTTGCTAATTCGTCAAGTCTATTTTCAATTCTCTGATTGTCAGTACTTGATACCACTGCTGGAGGCTGGGTCAGAGTTGCTTCCACCTGGTACACAACATTGCTATTGGCTCTCGTTCCAAACTGTTGAGCATTTGCAGCCATATTTGAGATCAACGCCTTAGCTACTTCAGGTGTTTTGTCAACAAGAACTCCTCCACTGGAAGCATTATCCATGTGCAGCAATCCCTCATAGAAGTAAACAATAAGCAGCTGTTCAGGAATTTGATGATATGGATAGCTTGCACACAGCCTCTTGAATCGCTCCCAATATTCATATAAGTTTTCTCCATTTGCTTGCCTTATTCCACTGATTTCCTTTCTGATTACTGTGGCTCTTGATGAAGGAAAATACTTCTCAAGGAATAATCTAGACATGTCAGCCCAGCTTGCAATGGATGAGGGTGGCAAGTAATACAGCTAATCCTTAGCTCCACCATCCAAGGAGAATGGAAAAGCCCAAAGCTTGATTTGCTCCGCATCAACTCCTTGTGGCCTCATGGTGTTGCATACCACATGGAATTCCTTGAGATGCTTATGGGGGTCCTCACCTGCAAGACCATGAAATTGTAAAAGCAAATGAATCAGTCCAGATTTGAGCTCAAAAGGTACATCAAGGTCAGGATAACAAATACATAAATGTTGTTCATTGTTAACATCAGGGGCAGCCAATTGATTAAGTGTTCTATTATCCATAACTTCAGAATCAAATAAATTACCAACTGAATATACACTATGTGAAGGACTCGAACAAACAGACTCAGACTCTAAGGTATGCTCAGGGACATCACTATTGTAAGTCAACATACGAACTCTACTAGCAACATGTAATGATCTCTCTATCTCAAGGTCATATGAACATAAATCATCAACACTGGTAGTACTCCTAGTCATGCATCACAGGCATACAATAGTAAAATCACGAAACATACGATGAGACATAAAAACTATCAAAAAAAGGCAAACAGAAGCAAAAATAATTCTACGAAAAATACCAAACGACATCAGAACGCTATGGGACCAACTCTCCTAAAGTCTAATCGACCCTACGGACTCAAAAATCAAATAAATTTTTTTGAAAAATAAAATAAAATAGTAAACGAAGGAATTTGGATAAAATTGGGCCTTCATCAATGACTTTTGACCGAGATGATCGCCTCCTTCACGTCACAAATTTTCAGATCGATCAGAGCAAGTTGAACAAGTGCAGAAATACCTGGTACGTCCAGAAACGACAAAGAAACACTAAAACGGGTTAGTAAACGAAAGAATTTGGCAAAAATAAGGGTGACTTCACGCCTTTTTAGGGCGTGACTTATACTCAGAAGGTCGAATTCCTTTGGGAATATAACTCCTGAAACCAATCTCTTGGAAAGAAGTCTGACCAATCGCCCAAAATTGCCCAAAAACGCACACTGTAGTGCAGAGAAATGAATAACTGAGACAAGCTGCAGTACCAGATGCAGAATTCGATGCAGAAACAGAGGTGCAAAACACAGATGCAAAAATGCACATGAATGCAAAATCAGAAACAGTGTTAGAAGCACAGATGCAGATGCACATAGAATGCAGATGCAGAAAACAAACAGGTTCAGAATTGATGCGAAAAAGATGCAGAAAAACAAAAAAAAATGTAGAAAAATTATGCAGACAAATATCGTAAACAGAAAACAAAACAGAAAGAAAAACGGAAAACATAAAACTGCGAACAGATAAAGCAAAACGAAAACTGTAGCAAACAATTTTTTTTTATCAGAAACAGTAAAAACAAAAATTAAAAGAAGAAGAAAGAAAAAAAAACAAAAATAGAAACAGAAAAATCAAAACGAAAATTGCAGAAAATGAAAAAATATTATTATTATTTTTAAAAAAAAAGAAACAAAAAAACGAAAATTAAAAGAAAAAGAAAAAGAAGAAACAGAACAAGAAAACAGAAAAATTAGAGAAAGAAAAGGGAAAGAAGAAGAACACTTTTGACATGCAGATTCCCCGGCAACGGCGCCAAATTTGACGTGCGTTGTCGAACCCATGCAAATTACCGAGCTTTAGGTTTGTTGTGATAGGGCAACTCGGATCGTCTCCCAAAAAACCTGCTCGAAATCAGAAACGCTCTGTAAAATAGAATTTAAAAAGGAAAAAGGGATTTTGTTGATTTAAAATTTAAATAGAACCAGATTTGAAATTTGGATTTAAAAATCAGAATTAAAAAGCAATCAACCTAAGGAATTAGGATTCATTAATTTATTTCTTCATTGGATAAAAAAAATAAAATTATCAATTTGTGATTAACCCCAATTGATTCGAAATCCTCAAATTCAATTGGAAACCCTCTCTAGACTATCGCCTAGCGTTTGGTTGAATACAGTATCTCAACTATGCGATCGTAGTAGTTTTGATCTGTTCAACTTATGTTCATCGGGTAAATTAATCTGACCATTAAATCTAATGATCAATTTTCTCTTATAGAATGCAATCGCATTATTCAGTTTGAATACCTACAATCGCATGATATTCAACTTGAATTGGAAAAAAACGAAATTGATTTAAAAAGTTAAAAACATATCCTCTGAAATAAACTAACGAACTTTTAACCTTAGATTGATTAGAGGTGTTTAGCCTAGCATCGCGAGGTTAAACATTATTCAAAATAAAATAAGAGAAGAAGAAGATGATGATGATGAAAATAAAAGAGTGTAAAATTTCGATAAAGAAAACTCAAAACAGAGGTTCAATTCCAAAATCTGACTGCCGAAGGGTTTCCTAAAGTTTCCCTTAAATAACCCACATTAAGAACATGTTAGGGTTCCACCACTTCAGCCCGTACATAAAATAAAACATTAAAACATGGCCTTGGGCCCTAAACTCATTGGGTTCTAATCTAATTTACAAGTCCAAACGTCAAAATAAAATTCCAGCAAAAACATGTAATCTTGGGCTCAGGTTTCGACCATATTCCCGTCCGAATTGGGCTTCAGTGGAGGAAATATCTATTGTATCCCTTTCTGTTAGCTGCAAAATGCAAGAAGAACGGAGTCAAATGGACATCTGTAGAGTGAGATATGACTGAAATATGAAAGTCGTGTAAATCTGAAAAATTCTGACGAAAATCAATTAAACCCAATCAAAATCTAGAATTCTGATTTGACCCAAAAGACCTTTATTTAACTCAAATAAATCCTAAAAATACTAACCAAGAGTAATAAAAAAGTGTAACAAAATATGTGCTATCAACATGCGATTGAACCTAATCAAGGTAGGCAAGCTTGATGATGCCGGATTAGTGAACTATTTCGGTAGTGTTAGATGGAAGCTGGCCAAGGGAAACTTGGTTGTTGCCCAAGGTAAGAAGGAAGGCTCCTTGTATGTAATGCAAGGAAAGATAAATGGTGGAGAAACCAATTCTGTTCGAGATGGACCAACTTTGAGCTATGGCACAAGCGCCTCGGCCATATGAGTGTGAAAGGGCTCCAAATCCTGAACAAGAAAGATTATTGACCGGGTTGAAAGGCCAAGCGTTGGAGAGTTGCATGCAATGCCTAGCTGGAAAGCAGCACTGGGTTTCTTTCGTGAAACTGGATCAACCCAGAAGATGCATGTATATTCTTGACCTCGTCTATACTGATGTTTGCTCCATGTCAGAGAGATCCCTTGGAGGAGCTCGGTACTTTGTTTCCTTCATTGATAACCACTCCCGTAAAGTGTGGGTTTATTTGTAGAAGTCTTAAGACCAGGTAATCCAATCCTTTAATGAATTCCATGCAATGGTTGAAAGGGAGACTGGCAAGAAATTGAAGGTGGTCTGATCTGACAATGGTGGTGAGTATGCGACCTTTTTGATGCATATTGCAGAGCGGCCGGGATCTGACTTGAGAAGATGCCCCCCAAGACTCCTCAGTTGAATGGACTTGTTGAGCAGATGAATAAGACTATTGACGAGAAGGTCTGAAGCATGTTATCCAATTCCGGGTTGCCGAAATCATTCTGGGATGAAGCCGTCAAAACTGCTATTAACTTGATCAACCTCTCACCATCACGGCCACTTGAAGTAGAAATTCCAGAAGAAGTATGGACAGGTCGGAAAGCAGCCTATGATCAATTGAAGGTTTTTGGATGCCGAGCTTTCGTGCACATCCCTAAAGATGAAAGGGAAAAACTCGATGCGAAGACTAAAAAATGCATTTATCTTGGTTCACCGAGATGTGAGTTTGGGTTCCGACTTTGGGATTCAATCAATAAAAAGATAGTGAGAAGCCGATATGTGATCTTTCATGAAGATGAGGCCATTCATGACATCTCGAAGCCCAAAGTCTGGGTTACTGTCAGACATGAAGAACCCAATCCTCCTGTCCGAGCTGAAGCAGGGGGGAAAGTCAAGAGAATAAAGGAAATGATGACTAGCAACAAGCTGATGATGACCAAGATACTGAGGTCCGAGTTGATAATGAGATCCGGGATGTGAATGATGAACCGGGTTCTCAAGCTGAAGAACAGCTGAGATATCCAACTCGAGAAAGAATAGCCTCTACAAGATACCCATATGATGAATACACTGTTGTTGTTGAAGACACTGAGCCTCAGAGTTATGATGAGGCTGTGACGAGCTCAGAGAAAGAAGAATGGGAAAA